TCCGGAAAAAAAATTGCAAACGGTGTTCATGAGCCAGTCAGCTTTGTTCACTATGTAAGTGTTGATGTGCAACGCATCAATCCCAAAAGCAGGCTGCTGGTGATGGCCCAACCTTCTTTCTCATCAAGAAGGCTATAACGAGGAGGAGGAGAAGGATAAGAAGAACAACAACAACAACAACTTTATTGTCATTGTACAAGTACAACAAGTACAGTTGCACCCCAGCAACTGTGCGCAATATAATAAAACCAAAGCACTTAAAAATGAAGATAAGAAAAATAGAGTACCCATGTCTCCATTTGCAATTAGAGAGTACAATATCTACGAATATTGTGGCACTGTTGTTTTGGTTTAAAGGCAAAAAATCCAAAACCTTTTAATGAAAGTGCATTCCCTTGATATTGTTTCTCCTCTCATGAAGTGTCACCTGCCACTGGGAAAAACAATCATAGTTTGCGATAGAATGAAGCCAGGTGAGCCTAGTTGGATATTTTGAATAGCAGGTATAGCTGCCTACCAAATTGTCCACCTAAACAAGTTTCAGGCATGAACGTGCCCTATGCTTGGCTTGTGACTACCATGTTTCTTCAACAATACGCCCCCCCCCAATAGGAAGACCCAGCATGTTTTCTAGGCATAAAATGAAATTAAGCCCCTCCCCCAATATTTAGGCCTAGCTTAAAACATGTGAAATTGGGGGGGAAGGCAGGGGGGAAACTTGCCATTAGGAGTGCCCCGCGGGCAGCTACGCCTCACCATCAGCTGCTCCTAACACCATGATGGAGCACAGAGGGCTCCCTTACCCAGGTCAGCAGGCGGGCGGCGGCGGCGTGGATGTCCGGCAGCGTTTCAGCCGCTTCTCAGGCCTCCGTAGCTTCCACAGTTCCCACCGGTGCTGGCGCCTCTCTCGCCAGCGCCGTCTCCAACAACGGCGCCTGAGTCGCTCCCACTTTTCCCCTGTCCCCATAACAACAGGGGAAAAAAAGATTTTGGGGTACCTGGGAGCACGGCGCACTGCATTTTGGTTTAATCCCGCGCGGCTGGGTGGGTGTGAGAAGAGCCGAGTGAGCGTCTCTGCTGCTGCTACCCTTGGTGCTCCAGCCTTGGGCTCTGCAAGTTTGCAAAAGTCCCGGTGTGCAGCCCGTTCCTGCATTCCAAGCGCCCAGGCCAAGCTGCAGCTGTCCCTCTCTTGCCAGCACCGTCTCCAATAACAGCGGCAGCAGCGATGGGAACTGTGGAAGCATTTCAGCCGCTTCTCGGGTGGGGGAGCCGCCTCCATAACTTCCACAGTTCCCTCCGCTGCTGCCGCTGTTATTGGAGACGGTGCTGGCGAGAGAGGGATAGCTGCAGCTCGGCCTGGGCGCTTGAAATGCAGGAACAGTGTGTGCACTGGGACTTTTGCAAACTTGCAGAGCCCGAGGCTGGAGCACCAAGCGTAGCAGCAGCAGAGACGCTCGCTCGGCTCTTCTCACGCCCACCCAGCCACTCGGGATTAAACCAAAACGCAGCGCGCAGCACTCCCAGGTACCTCGAAATGTGTTTTTTTTCCTGTTGTTATGGGGATGGGGGGAAAGCGGGAGAGACTCAGACGCTGTTGTTGGAGACGGCGCTGGGGGGGGGGAGAAATTAATTCACCCCCCAAAAGACGTCCTAGCCGTTTTTGGGCTCAAAAAAATAAATAAGGCCCAGCCTTATTTTGTGAGAAACATGGTATTATGTTGAACTATTTTTGAAGTGGGTCAAGTGCTGTTTCAAAAGAATACTAAACCAACATCCAAAACAGCCTGGATGACGGGTTGCAGATATAGAAGCGGAGAATAAAGCAGGATGAAACTCTTGATGTAAGCCTGAACTAGCTACACAATCCCCCAAAAATACATGTTTGAGTAAAGTAGGCATCAACAGGGTGCAATAAGGAAATTCAAAGCAGGAATGGACATGCTTTTGATGCCTTAATTCAAATGTATTTTTGCCCAGGATAACACTATGAGCCAAAGAGGAAGCAGCTCTTTAATGATATGCTGACAGATGTGTAGCACATGCTACACCTGCTCCAAAGCATCTTTTCAGGTTCAAATCTGAAGTGTATCCCTTGGTAAGGCTATTAAACCTGGCAGATGTATATCATTTCCATCTATAGCAGGGGTCGCCAACCTTTTGGGCCTCAGGGACTACCAAACTCATAATTTTAAATTCCGCGGACCAGAGACCCTGGGAAAATCCCAAAAATGTCTGCAGGAAAATTCCCCACCCTGTTTTCCTACCAATTGATCATTCTTTATTTGGGATTGCAGGATACCGTCTCCAGCTCCATTCTCAGGGGGAGAGAGAAAAAGAGAGACTTTTGGCTTCATGCAAGGAAAGCAGCAGAAGTCTTTCTCCCCCAAACTACACCAGAATGGCTCAGCCTCTTGGAGCAGGATGCCTTGCAGGGTCCCAAAGTCTCATTTCTGGTGGAGTTTGGGGGAGAGAAATAAAAACCTTCGGTGCTTTCCTTGCGTGCAGCCAAAAGCAGAAAAAGAAAGAAGCTGAAAGAAGCAGCCCGGTGGCCAGGTGGGGCATGTGGGGCAAGTTCTTCCCCTCCGCCCTTTCCCCCCTCCCCTCACTACCTCGTGTTGTTCACAATGCAAGCGACGCAAGCCTTGTGTTCCCGCGGGCCATGTGGGCGGCACAGCCTTGTGTTCCCACGCAGCCTGGATTAATTGCTTTGGGGGGTGCTTTGGAGGTGACATTTCTCTGCAGACCACCAAAATTTTCTCGCGGACCACTAGTGGTCCCAGGCTCCCTGGTTGGTGACCACTGATCTTTAGTATTCATTAGGCTGGGATATAAACAGGATTACTTGCGCCTTTGTCCTATCCAGCAAGAATCTTCTGAGTTCTCATCTTCTATTCTATGAACAGGAAAGGCTTTTCAACCATGGATGCTTTAACAGCTGTTTTTAAAATTCCTCAAACCTTTAATACAGGTAGTTCTTGACTTACAACCACAATTGAGCCCAAAATTTATGTTAAGTGAGAGATATTTGTTAAGTGAGTTTTGCCCCACTTTATGACCTTTTTTGCCACAGTGGTTAGATGAATCGTTGCACTTGATACAGTAAGTTACTAACCCAGTTCTTAAAGGAATCTGGCTTCCCCGTTGACTTTGACTTTGTCAGAAGGTCGCAAAAAGGAATCACATGACCTTGGGACACAGCAATGGTCATAAATATGAACCGGTTGCCAAGCATCTGAATTTTGATCATGTGATCATGGGGATGCTGCAATGGTCATAACTCTGAAAAATGGTCATAAGTCACTTTTTTCAGTGCCGTTGTAACTGAATGGTCACTAAATGAACTGCGGTAAGTCAAGGACTACCTATAGTTGTTCCTTAATAAAGATCAATCATGAGGAATAGGTTATGTATATGTATATCATGAGTGTCAAACTCATGTCACGTGATGTACCATGATGTTGCTGGGGTGGGCGTGGCCTGATGTTGCTGGGGTGGGCGGAGCTGGGGTGGGCGTGGCCTGCATGTGGCATATCTGGCCCAGGGGCTGCCAGTTTGAAAACAGTGGTATACCTAAAGCTTCCCTGTAACTAACTTCTACAAATGAAAAATCATATATTTCTTTTCTCCTGAATTGGACTGTTGAAATGAAGATACTTTGAAGACAACCGGTAACAGAGCTTACTGAGCTTATTGTAATACAGTGCTGAAAGTGTATTTGTGGACTACACATGCGCACAGGAATATCTCTTACTTAATTCTAAATCTAGGCTTATTTCTTCAGGCTTCTATTTTGTACCTCCCTTTAGCTGCTGTAGCTTCATGACTTTTAACCTCAGCAAACAGTTGAGAACCTCAGCAGAAGGTTAACTCTAAAAGATCCTAGATAGAACCTCACTTCCCTTTCTGATAAACTGACAGGCATTTTGTTCCAACAAATCCAGAAAAATTATCAAAGATATCCCCTTCTCCTTGTCCTCTGTAGGGTATATAGGGACTACAAGGGCTGCTGACCTTTCCATAAATAGTCAAGATCCTTTTACCAAATCAACAAGGCAAAACCATGCCGCATAAGCCTAAGTCATGCAGCAGGCATACAAAAATGTCACTTCCCTAATTCACAGCAGTATAAGAGCAGTATAAGAGGTAAAGCACAGTCAGTGAATCTTAATTTAAAAAATAGCTTTAATTTTAATGTGGAGTTGATTTATTGGTCTGATTTGCATTCTGGAACTGACCTCTGATCACCAAGATCAAATCAGAAATTTTTGCTTCTGCTTTTAAGGCAATCGCAAGATGCACTGTTGCATAAAGCCAAGAAGACAGTTGTTTTATTGAATAAAATTGTGTTATAATTTATGGTGGTAACTTGTTCACTAATTATATTGATTTGGATCCAAACAGGTATTTTGAAAGATGTTGGTTAAGTTCCATGATCCCTTGACTACTTGTTTCTCTGATCCCACTCCCATGCAAATGTTATTATCCCTTTAGGGCTGAGGAACCATGCCAAGTGAAATGGGTCCTGATGTGAATTAGAGTAAAAGGAGGAGGTCACAGGACCATGTATGGAATCATGTTCGGCTTTAATCATGAAAATATCTGTTCTAATCTATCTGTTTTTTCATGGTCACTTTCCTAGCCCACCCCTACTGCAATCCATTCCACTCAGTCAGACCCCCCCAACTCTTGAAATAGCAATTTCCAATCTCCTTGGGGACTACTTTGGAGAGAAAGTGTGAGATCACTTATCATATTTTCAGTTCACTCAATAATACAATTTAAGCGGCTTTTAAATTTGAAGTATTAAAACTCAATAAAAAGTAAAACAACTAAATAGCTAAGTGAAATTTGGGGGGGGGTGTATAAAAACTGCCACCTCACCACAGTGCAGATAAAATTGTCTAAACCAGTGGTTCTCAACCTGTGGGTCACGACCCCTTTGGGGTCGAACAAAACCCTTTCACGGGTCGCCTAAGACCATCGGAAAACACATATTTTCGATGGTCTTAGGAACCGAGCCATAATTTTATGGTTGGGGGTCACCACAACATTAGGAACTATATTAAAGGGTCGCGGCATTAGGCAGGTTGAGAACCACTGGTCTAAACTATTGAAATATAAAAATTGGGGGAAAACAAGAAATATCTCTGCCTATGTCTTTACATTATGTAAAACAGTCATGGCAGCATCATGTGACGTATTGTGACTTTTTTCCCCTTCATTAAATGGGACTTGGGTGTGGCCAGCGTGTGACACATCCGGGCCGGAAGTTTGACAGCCCTGATGTAAAACATCCAAATCATATTTTTAAAATTGGATGTTTCCTCATTCCAGAAAACCTACTCCATACAGTCTAACAGTAATCAGCCATATTTCTCTCCTTTATTGATATTTTCTCTAGTCTTCTTTCTACCAAACTAGTTTTTCTAAAACTGAGTTCCATGGCAACTGATTCAACAGAAAGTCTGAGTCAATACAAATTCATTTCAAGGTTCCTAATCAAGGTAACAAAGTGCTCTATTAAGTATATCACAAAACACTGTTTGAAGTTGAAGTCACATCTTTGAGATACTGGTTTAGTAACATTTTCCAATCATTCATTCATTCACTCTATCCCAATATATCCCTGATCACTTGCTGCTTTTTAGCATGCCAACACTGTACTTTAATATTGAATACCAAGATTCTAAAGAATGGCATCTAATCCTGAGGTAATATGATTGGCAAAATTGGCTGTAATTTAAAATTAAAATAGATGAGCAATCTCAAAATACATTGTAAATAACAATATGATTATCCTGACTATCAAAGTGGGAAAATAAAAGTACATTTATGAGTTGATGGATGTCAGTTCAAGGGAATTTCCTTATTATTCCTTTTCTTGGAAATTTTCATCTTTTATTTTTAGGGTACAAAGCTTTCTCAGTCCACAAGTAATAGATGGGGCCAAGACAACAAAGTTCGACTTTGTTTACAGTTACATTTATTTAAAGTTATAGTTGTTATATTTTTATGGTCATTTGTTTCATAAACTAAATCTGGCTTCTTTTTGAGGTCTCTATAAAGCACATCCAAGGCTTCAATGACTTATCTCCCGGACTCTTAATTTGGTTATATTAACTTTGTGCACATAAATTTCTTTAAATCATGAAAATATTCAACTGCTAAATGTCATTGGTTAAAGCTAATTTAATCATATTTAAAGCAATTCAATTTAAAACTGAAATCAGACTGAAATCAACCATTTTTAATTGATCCTTGATTTTAATGGTCTTCTACTCAAAATATGGTTAATAATGAATACTTTGGCTCCTTAGGCATTTATAAAACAAATTGCTCATCTTTCTGCCTCTGAGATTAAAGTGAAAGAAGAAAACTACTGCCAAACTTATCTCCTTCATCTTTTTCCGTTGCTGCATTCTTCCTGCAGCATCCTCTATATTAGAAAGACTCAAAAGATCTGGCTAAAGTTTAATAGAGAATAGAAGAACTGAAGTTTCAAATAATCTTTGGCACTCCCAGCTTTTTATCCGCACCATGTTTACTACAGATTAGACTAGCTCTTCCTGTATAGTTGGTGGAATAATCAAAATGCTCTTCACTTCAAAATTGTTCTGCTACTTCAGATTCCGTCTTCTCATTAGATTGTCCTTCAGTGGACAGGAGGAGAAGTTACCATGATGAAAACTATTAAAAGATTTATCACATCAAACACAAAGTTGACATGGGGGGGGGTACCATATTAAAAGATACAGTGGGTCAAATTGTTCTGAGGCAGGGTATTCATTGTATATTGGGTTTTTTAAATATATTTAACTGATTGCTTAAATGTATTCCATTCCATCTTGTTACTGATTCTACTTCACTCACTTTAGAGCAAACCCCGTGAACTGCCTGCAGCTCCAGTAACTGAGTTTGTGCCACTGAAAATTCAGTGGAAAAAATGGCAGATTTTCATAGTCTTTTTTTTTTAATGATTAACATTAGAAGAGAAAGACTTTTTAATTCCCTCTTAATTCATCTCCCAGAATCTTTCCCTAGTCAAAGTTTAGGGTTAACATTCAGATATTTTGCTAAAATGTTACATAATTTGGATTATTATTGCAAGGGAGGAGATTAAAAGTGGAAATGGAATCCATTTGGTTTGCCACTTCTATTGTTGGTCTTTTTCCAAAAAGCAAAAGTGGTCTCTATTCCTTCTGGGTTATAACTGTAATAGCTTTCTACAACCTTTGGGTAAGCTGAAAGGCAAGATTAAGCCCCTTCTTGAAGGGGCTGCCAATTGGATTCAAAGGGCTGGTTCTCCAACCTTTAAAACCCTGGAACTTTAATGTCCCATGAATTGATTTCATCCATATAATCCAGTGGCCCCCAACCTTTTTTGTGCCACGGCCCGGTACCGGCATCACAAAATGATCCACGGCCCGGTACCGGCATCAGCATGCATGACCAAGGCAAGGTGAGCCGAGCGACCGGCCAGCCAGCTGTCCCCCGCTTCTCCCTGCCACCTTCAACTCCTCCTTTGCACCTTTTTTGTGCTTTTTTGTGCTTTCTTAATCTCCTCCGCCATCGGGATGGCTCTTCGTTTGAAGCCGCCCCCCCCTTCGATGAAACTAAGGTGCAAGGATTCCAACAGAACCCAAACGCCGCTTTCCAACCGGAAAAGCTCACCCGGAAGCACTTTCTCGTCAAAACAAGATGGCGGCACCCAGCAAACCGGCGGCCCAGTAGAAAATGATCCACAGACCGGTACCGGTCCGGGGCCCAGTGGTTGGGGACCACTGATATAATCATGGACAATCCTTGGCTTCTCTATATAACTTGAGTGACTAGGGTATGACATTTGACACTTCTACTCTGGAGACAATTAGTACTGAATGGATGAAAAGATGAAATACTCATGTTCAATAATCAGTAGATAGTCGTGCATTTCAAAAAAAGAGGTTTCCTTATGAATGATTAAAAAATTTTCGGTCATAGCAAATCAAATTTTAACTCATTTTGAACAGAAAAATTAAAGTTGGGTATATATTTGGTTTTGCCTAAATGGTTTGAGTACTGTATTTTATAGAAATCTCTTAGCAAACAAAAACATTATAAGACAAGACAAACCTATATTCTTAATATACTATTGTTGTCAAACCAGTAGGACACTTCCTGTGTCTTAAATCCTAGGAGGGAAGGAATGCTGCCTGTAAAATTCTAAAATAATATCAGAATCAGAATAGAGCTGGAAGGGACCTTGGAGGTCTTCCAGTCCAGCCCTCTGCTCAAGCAGGAGATCCTGACCAATACCGTTTCAGATAAGTGACTGTCCAGGCTCTTCTTAAAAATCTCCAGTGATGAAGCACTTACAACGTCTGAAGGCAAGCGGTTCCACTGGTGAATTATTCTCACTGTTTGGAAATTTCTCCTCAATTCCAGGTTGCTTCACTCCTTAATTAGTTTGCATTCATTGTTGCTTGTCCTGTCCTCTTGTTTGCTTTGGAAAACAAATTGACCCCCTCCTGTTTGTGGCAGCCTCTCAAATACTGGAATATTGCGATCATGTCCCCCCTAAACCTTTTCTCTAGACTAGACAAACCCAAATACTGCAACCGTTCTTCATGTTTTCATCTCCAGGCCTTTAATCATCTTAGTTGCTCACCTTTGCAGTTTTTCCAAAGCCTCAACATCATTTTTGTAATGTGGTAACCAAAACTGGATGAAGTATTCCAAGTGTGGTCTTACTCAGGCTTTATAAATCAGTACTAATACTTCACATGATTTTGATTCTATGCCTCTGTTTATACAACCCAGGATTGTATTAGCTTTTTTGGCTGCTGTCGCACACTGCTGATTCATGTTTCAGCTATCATCCACTAAGACTCCAAGGTCCCTCTCACAGTTCCTGTTTGTGAGCCAGGTTTCTCCTAATCTGTACTTGTACCTTTGATTTTTCCTGCCTAGGTGAAAAACCTTGCTTTTATCCACATTAAATTTCATGTTGTTGGATAGAGCCCATTGTTCAAGTCTGTCAAAATCTTTTTGGATCCTGAACTTGTCTTCCGGGGTGTTGGCTATTCCTGCCAGCTTAGTGTCATCTGAAAATTTGGTGAGTTCTCCTTCTATTCCCTCATATAATAGCTGTATTTCCAAAAATACCAGAAATGTGAGGCTAAGTCACCTAATTGAAGCCTATACATAGAGGCAGCCAGTGAAATCAGGTCAAGAATACGGTCACAACACAACTTCCTATGTTATGCACTCCCTTCTAGTCAAGGAAGGCTCTATGATTGGTCAAATCCACATGGATTTTACACAAACCTGCACGTTAAGGGTGACAAATGACCTCAGGGCACAACTTTAAGGCCTCACCAGGTCTTAATTCAGCCTGCAAGTTTCCCAACCATGTTCTACTCCAGTGTTTCTCAACCTTGGGAACTTTAAAACATGTGGACTTCAAGTCCCCCAAATCCCCAACCAGTAGGGCCAGATGGAGAATCCTGGGACTTGAAGTCCACAAATCTTAAAGTTCCCAAAGTTAGGAGACATTGGTCTAGACTAGGGGTGTCAAACTCGCATCATCACAGCATCGTCATGTGACATATCGTGACTTTTTTCCCCTTTGCTAAACCGGGCGGGGGTGTGGCCAACGTGTGATGCATCCAGCCCACAGGCCGCAAGTTTGACAGACAAAATTTCACTCCAGGTTTCTTAACTTTTAATCTTTTTATTCTAATTAGAATTGTTTAGCACATTTTAACTTTTTATTAGATTGTTACCTGCCCAGAGTCACTGTATCAGTATGATGGACAGCATAGAAATTTAATGAATAAAATAAAATACACATTCTGTTTTCTGGCTGGCTAATCCCTATTTCTTCTTCTTTTTTTTCCTCAGCTTTTTTATGCAACAAGAAACGGAGTTCTATCACTTGGCAATAGCACTAGTATTTTTTTATACACTCTTGCACAAAGATTAGGCTTCTTGTTGTGTCATACAGGTAGTTCTTGACCGATGACGACAATTGAACCTAAAATTTCATTTACTAAGTGAGTTTTGCCCCCCTTTACAATCTTTCTTGCCACAATTGTTAACTGAATCATTGCAGTCGATAAGTTACTAACCCAGTTGTTAAGTGAGTCTGGCTACCCCGTTGATTTTGCTTGTCAGAAGGTTGCAAAAGGGGATCACATGTCCTTGGGACACTGCAACGGTCATAAATATGAACCAGTTGACAAAAAATGGAATTTTGATCACATGATCATGGGAATGCTGCAAAGGTCGTAACTCTGAAAAACAGTCATAAGTCACTTTTTTCAGTGCCATTGTAACTTTGAACGGTCACTAAATGACGTATATCAACAGAACATGGTATCGCCTTGTGCAGGTTCATGCTACAATGGTTGGGTGTGGGAGAGACAGCAAAGTTTTACTTTTTTTCAGGCGATGATATGGAGAGTATCTGACATAGATTGAAGAGCCTTGCTGATTTAGAGTAATGTAGCAATTATGTGGGGGAGAATTTTCAAGACAAGAGGTGGAAATAAGAATAACCTCTGTACTTTCATTAAAGATCAGTTGTCTTTGACATTTACATATGAATGGCATGTTCCTCAAGAGTTTTTAAAGTGTTAGGAATAGCCAATGGATTTCTGAAACTTATTTACCAGCTAAAAAATTTAAATTGTCTTTTCTTACTTCTTTAATATCAGATATCAGTAATTTAATATCAGATATCAGTAATTTAATATCAGATATCAGTAATTTAATATCAGATATCAGTAATTTGTAGAGTAAATCATGTAGCCCAAGTGCTAATTTCACTCCCTTCTCCAGAACCTGCTTAAGATATATTACACATATTCATTTTATTTTGTAAAATCATGATCTATAGCAGTGCGTATAGATACACATGGTGTGTGCACATATACTCATTTAAAAATCTTCTTGCTACAAATACAAGTAGTCCTCGACTTAATATCACAATTGACCCCTAAATTTATGTTGCTAAGCAAGATGTTTGCTAAGTGAGTTTTGCCCCATTTTACGACCTTTCTTGTCATAGTTGTTAAACGAATCATGGCAGTTGTTAAGTTAGTAACATGGTTGTTAAGTGAATCTGATTTTTCCCATAGACATTGCTTGTCAGAAGGTTACAAAAGGTGATGACATGACTCCAGGAATTGCAATTGTCATAAATATGAGTCAATTGCCAACTGTCTGAATTTTGATCATGTGACAATGAGGATGCTGCAATGGTCATAAGTGTGAAAAATAGTCATAAGTCACTTTTTTCTGTGATGTAACTTTGAACGGTGACTAAATGAACTGTTGTTAGTTAAGGACTACCTGTAAAGCATAAATTGTTGCCGTTCAAACAGTTGACTTTCTTTATTGGGAGGAAATAGCAAAGAGAGTTAAGAATAGACAGGCTTCTTGCATTTGTACTCTCCTCCCCCCCCCCCCCCCCATTAAATGATCTGAAAGAGAAAAAAAGAATTTCAGTTGAATAAAACTGGAGATGCTGTAACACTTTATTCCTACAACAAGCAAATGTGGGAGAAAAAGCTTACAATAGGACCAGTGCTCAGGGTCTGAATAGCAGCCTCTCGGAGGGGGGGGGGGGCTATTTAGCAACTTTTGTGTGATTGCTTTTGCTGAGAAAAATGTGGAATTTAAGCTGTTGTTAAATGCAGATAAAGGTCAGAGAGCAGGATCTCCAGAAACTGCAATATATTATTTTTCACTTTCTTTATGCACAGAAGGAATCCACACTGTCAAAGCTAGGCGGGACTCATACAAAATAAGGTATTCCTGGCAACCGTGAGGTATTTACTGCTGTTAACAAAGACTGACATATCAATGGAATTGAATCTCAAACACAGTCAACTACTGAAAAAAAAAAGAACAGGAGGCATTTGCTTTTTGTCCATTGGAGGTTGGTTGGAATAATACAATCAATTTTTGTTTGGAAACGTGCCGAGTCATTGCTGTTGCAAAGCTTGCTTTAAATAAGCAAACAAAATATTACTAAGGTATTACAACTACAAAGTTACCACTATTTGTTTAAATGCTATGATGCAGCCATCTGGTAATCAAAAGCTTGTAATATCAATTTGTAATATCCCCCAGTCTCTCTATCAACATGTCAACTTTGTGCAATTTCAGTGCTTTCAAAGTGATCCAATTGAATGAGATTTATTTTAAATATATTTTCTGTGAAATTCATTCAGACTTAGGAAAAGCTTAGAAAGTGCTATGAGATGCCTTCTTTTGATTCCCCCCCACATCAGATAGGGTGAGTTAGATCCAAGCCCTATATTATTATTCTCCAGAAAACCTACTTTCATTGTGTCTGCCGATTTGCTAAGATAGTAGTGCTGCTCTTGAAACAGTTACTGAAATTATCAAAATACCTAATGAATTAGTATGGTAGGTTTCTGAAGTCAGGGGACAACCGGTATTTGCATATTTCCACTTAATTTTGAATGTATGTAAATTGGCAACCGCTCCTTCGCATAGTTAACAACCCATCAATATTAGAAATTATAGGGAGGTGCAAAGCTGTAAGCCAAAACTATTTCTTATAACAAATTGATCCCAATTTCACCCGAGGAATGCTGGTACTGCCTACTGCAATATGAATATCAATATTGCACTCTTGACCTTTGATATGTACCATAGATTGCAGATTGTATTGTTTCAATTTAATGTTCAAAGACACATTAGCATTTATTAAAATCTATAGGTATCATTCAGATCAATGGTGCTTAAGTATGCATGTGTTCTTCTATGGCCGGTGCATGGCTGCCTTTGATCAATATTATTACTTTTGTGAATTTACAGAAAATAATTACACGAGTTTAAAATCATCCCCCTTCTTTTATAGAAGCATTATCTAAATTTGCTATACACATACAAAACCAACGTTGTGTAAGATGCTGATTAGAAGCAAAATTCTGGTTCAGATCTCAGTCCTTGAATTTTGAAACTAGTGTTTCAGTGCTTCTCTCGTCTGTTACCTGGGGTTGGTGGAGATTGGTCCCACTGAATTTAAGAACGGGGCAGGGGAATAATCTTACGTCTAAATATTACCATAATGATTCCATATTATTCCATGACAAACAGTAACAGAAACACACTTATTTATTTACTTACTTACTTACTTACCTATTTAATATCCTACCTTTATTATTTTTATAAATAACTCAAGGCAGTGAACATGCCTAATATTCCTTCATCCTCTTATTTTCTCCACAACAACACTATGAGATGTGTTGGGCTGAAACAGTAACTGGCTCACAACAACTGGCTTTCCTTCTCATCCTCAATGCAATCATAACGGCCTAGCTAGTTATACTGAACAATACTTCAGAAGCTACAGATTGCCCATTCCTGTCTTGTTCCCAAAAATAAATTTGCATTGTCTTCAAATGTCTCATAAATGTATTGTAGATACCTAAAACAGGCTTGAGATTATTGAATACTAATATGCATTTTATACCCTTTTTATTTCCACATTAACTACAAGGATATTTGGGAAATCTCAACATTTTAAAATGCTTGAATTAAAACAAAGCTGCAGTTGAATTATTACTTTCCATCATTAACTGATGTATCTTTCTGTGTGGAAAAATGTTATATTCTAAATAGCTTGTGTGTTGTTCTTTTATCGATAGTGAACTGGGAAACAGTTTTTTCAAAGTTCATGCATAAAACTTTCAAAGCTTCTTAAATCTCATTGGCATAAATTATAAGACATGTAAAATGTTTTAAAAACACAGCTAATAATACTATGCTTTCTCACAATTTTTTTCCTGCTGACATTTACTCATAAAAAGGCACATCGTGTAGGAGTAAAACATGCAATTGTGATGCTAATTTGAATCAATTATTTAAAACTAAAGATACATGGAAAAAACCTCACGTTCTATGAACAGATGTACGCAAACACACAAATATGCTCCTAGTGCTCCATCACAAATGTGTTTGCAATATGCTAAGTTCTCTTAGAATACTGTGATGTTTTCTTAGTATGTGGTGCAACAGAAATGTAAGTGAAAAGTGTACCATGAAATATCTTCGCTCAGCAATGTTTTATGTCTTTTCTACTTTGAATTAGAATTCTAATTTGGTGCCTTGTGTCCTGCAGCAGTACAGCCCCAACAAATGATGCTTTGTAAAAGTTAATAAAGTGCTCTTCAGAAAAATGCATTTCTGCAGAAATAGAGCTGGATGAGTTACCTATCAGTTATATCTGTGGAACTGAAGTTATAAAATAAGGCACATTCCCTGACCAAAAGGACAGTAGGCAATTCATTATCCCCAAGTCAAATAACTGCAGAAGTTAGTATGTTTAGAGTTTCATGATAACTTCCCAAATTTAACCTACAAACACAGTAGAAAATCCTCCCTATACTTTTCAGATCTCCCCTGAATTTGAAATGTTCTGGTGTAATTGTAATATAAAATGCACAATGTTTTTATGCTGCATTCATTTCATCTTTTATACCTCAGCATTTCAAGGCAAATTTGTGTTTATTGAATCAGCTGACTGAACAATTTCAAACCAGGAGGGAATGGGAATAAATATTTTCTTTCTAATGTTATTTTTTTCAATACAACATAGAAAGGCTAGGCATTTGTATGAGGTTCTTTCATCTCCCTGTGTAGGTACATTTTTGTATTACAATGTAACCATTGGAGCAGGCTGAGAGCTCCGCTTTGTCCTTGAGTCCCATTCCAGAAATCAACATGCACAAAATGGATTAATGGGACAGACATGGGAATTGATCCAAGACAATTTGAGTCATCTTAATTTTCATTATATTAATAATGCACCATAGGTGTTCCATTATTCCCACCCACCCCATCACTTGAAAATTATTTGGGGGCAATTTTGGATAGATAGTTTATTTATTTATTTCTACTCCACCTGATTATTTTTACAAATAACTCAAGGTGGCAAACATATTCAACACACCTTCATCCTCTTATTAGTTGGGCTAAGAGAGAATGATTGGTCCAACAACACTGAGTTGGCTTTCATGACTAAGGTGAGACTAGAACTCACAATTTATGGCTTTCTAGTCAGATGCCTTAGTCACTAGACTGAACTGGCTATGAGATGTAAAGTTAGTGGAAACTACATGTGCTGTGTAGAGTCAAATTACAAAGATCTGGTTAAAATAGACTTGGAACAAATGGTGAAGCTTCCTGACAAGGTTTTTATATTGGCAATCCTCTTCATTCAAGAAGTACTTATCTCTTAGAAATTTAATCTTCAAGGCAAAACAACTTCCTACTCACCCAAACAAATGACAACATCTTTCTTGACCCTTTGTTGCCCAAGATAATCCCACCCCGCCTCATCAAACATTGACAGAGCATGTAAATCAGCAATTCATTGCTGCAAATCAGGACTAAATGTATCCTCCAATTTTATATCATATTACTTTTGGCCAGCTCCCCTGCATGAAAAGTTTTTGATATCTTAAATTCCACCTGCTCATGATGTGGCTAAGCTAAACATATCTGTCTATAAGGATAACATACAACAAACCTCCTTGTAAGGTAAAAACTTAGAAAACATGATAGATTAACAGAAGTTACAAATTTGGGATAATTATGCCTGGACCTCCATCACATGCCCAGTTTTATATGAAGTCCCCATCTGAAAACAGAGAGAAGAGGCCATTAAGGATCCAGAACCAGACAGGATAAAATTACCAACAAATCGAACCAAAAAAAATTGGTTTCCTGGACACCGGTTTTTCTGACTACATCATCACATGTTTTCTTCCCCGGGCACCAAAAAGGATTTTTAAAAATAGCAAGCAACATCATTTTTAAGCATGGAACTCCACCCCAAATCTAGTCCTGGCCTCTTTTTTTTCTTCTCATTTTTGACTTTTTCTGTTTTTAATTTCTGTTTTTTCCTTTTTTTATTTTTCTGCTACCTTTTATTCCTTTTTTCTTTTTCATTTATATTTCTTTTTTTCCTTTTTTCCTTTTCTTTGTTTTTTTTCTTTTTCATTTTCTTTTTTCTTTTTCTTTTTTTTTACTTTTCTCTTTTTCTTTTTTCTTTCTTTTTTTCTTTTTTTTTTTAGTTTTTTTGCATTTTTTTGTATTTTCTTCCTTTTTCATCTATTCTTTTTCTTTTTTTCCTTTTCCCTTTTTCATGTTTCCTTTTTGTTTTTTGTTTTTCTGTTTTTTCATTTACTTTTTCATCATTTTATCATTATCTTCTTTTTTCTTTTTCACATTTCCTTTTTTTTCTCTTTCTCCTTTTTGTTTTGTTTTTCATTTTTCTACTTTTTTCAAGTTTTCTTTTTCCTTTTTTCTTGTCGTTTTTCATTTTCACTTTGTCATTTTTTCTTTCTCACTTTTTCTTTTTCTCTTTACATATTTTTTCTTTTTTCATTGTTTTCTTGTTTTTTGTTTTGTTTTCATTTTTTCTTTTCATTCTTTAATTTTCTTTTTCTTTTTTCTATTTTTTTCTTATTCATTTTCCTATTTCTTTTTCTTTTTTCTTTTTCTTTTTTCAAGCTTTTTCTTTTTTAATTTTTTTCTTATTCTTTTTGTGTTTTTGTTTTTCCTTTTTTCTTTTTCTTTTTCTTTTTTCTTTTTCTTTTTTCCTTTTGTTGTTTTTTCCTTTTCCTTTCCTTTTCCTTTTTTCATTGTTTATTTGTTTTCTCTTTTACTCTTTTCTTTTTTCCTTTTTTCCTTTTTTCTTCTTGTTTGTTTTTTCATTTTCTTTTTTTTTCCTCTTATCATTTTTTCTTTTTTCTTTTTCATTATTTCTTTCTGGGTTTTTTGCTTTTGCTTTTTTCTTTTCTTTTTATTCTCTTTTTCTCTTTTCATACTTTTTCCATTTTTAATATTTCATTATTTATTTTTATTTTTCCCATTCCCATTTCCTTTCCTTTTTGTTTTTTCTTTTCTTTTGTTTTATTTTTTCCATTTTTTCCATTTTTTTATTTTTCTATTTTTATCTTTTTCATTTTTTCTTTTTCTCTCTTCTCTTTTTCTTTCTTTATTGTTTTTTATTGTTTTTTCACTTTTTCTTCTTTTTCTTTTTTCTTTTTTCTTTTTCATTTTTTCCCTTTTTCATTTTTCATTTTCTTTTTTTCTTTCAAATTCTTTTTGTTTCTCTTTTTCTTTATCCTTTTTCCATGCTGAATTTCATACCGGCATCCATTTTTGCATTCAGGTTGAAACAAATTTTGGCTTCGCAGGGACTCACGTCCTTGACCCTAGCATCAGAAATGTCTTTCTCCCGGCACCCAAAATGCTTGATTTATAAAAACAGAAGCATCATCATTTTTAAGCATGAAATTCCACACTGAAACTTAGCCCTGCATCCCTTTTTGCATTCAGGCTGAAAATAATTTTGGCAGTGATGGCAGAAAAAAAGGTACTGGTTCAGGCGTACCAGTAAAAAAATGCTACCGGTTCGTCCAAACTGGTATTTCCAACGATTAGCTGGGCGACATTCAGCTGTGCTGTGCGATTTAGATTAGCTAGAAAGCAGGAAATCATTGAATTTCTTGCTTTCTAGCTGATCTAAAACACATGGCACAGCTGATCCTCCCCTCGCTGTTGTACTTACCTCAGAAGGCTTCAAAATGTTTCTTTTTTCAGCACCCAGGAGGCTTCCCTGAGACCCAATAGGCAAAAAATGGGGCGCTGTGAAAGGGGAAAAAACACTATATAGCCACATGACCACCTGGGCACACCCACCTAGCCACGCCCACAGAATCAGTAGTAAAAAAAATTGAATCCCACCACTGAATTTTGGCCTCCCAGACCCCTGTATCTCTCATCCCGGCATCACATGTTTTCTTCCCCGGGCACCAAAAAGGCTCAATTTTTAAAAACAGCAAGAAACACCATTTTAAAGCATGGAATTCCACCCTGAATCTCG